AATATTTATAGAGCCATTTGAAACCATATTCTGGTGCCTGTTAAAAGTACTGTACATCACATCCCAAGCAATAAAAGTGAGAGGAGCCATCATTTTCATCACTTCTAGTGGATTATGTGTATATATATATATATGAGAATGTTTGTTTGTTCGCTATGCAAGCCTAGGTCGTTCGACCAATTGCTACGAAACTCAGCAATTACGTTCAAATACTTCTAACTTGGATNTAGTAGCATGACTTAATTTTTGGAACCTAACCCTCCTTTTAGTACTAGTTCTTTGTTTCGCATAACACGGCAATGTTTTGGAATGTAACTACCGTATTATACGGGGGTTACCTGTAATTTTAACTGCAATATGATTTTGTTAATGTGTATTTCATTCTCCATTGTCAGTGTCCAGGTGTAGTGGAATGCCATTAAATCGCTAATAGACCTAACATTCGCCGAAGTCACTAGCTTGTCAATTGAACCGAGATGGCTTTATTAAATTTTCACTAGTGGTTAATCGGGCAATAGCATTCATAAGTCTTGTTAAAATTTTGTGATAGGCATTTCAGTTATTCTAATCTTCAAAAGTATAAAGTTTTTTATTTAAAATAAAAATATTTTAGTAATTAGCAGTGCTAAAAAATTTTAGCACATAAATACTGTAAAATCACATGTTTTTAAAGTGCTTGCAACCATTTGCAAACTGGTTTCCCACTGCATTTCACATCGAGAATTATTAAATCCAGTTTAAGAAGTGTTTTTAACTTTTTTTTTGTTTTAATACAATTTATATATTTTACTGAATTGCGATTGACATTATTATTATTTTCAAAGTACAATGTATTTAGATGAATATTTTGCAATATCTCAACTCATGTTTTTCTAATAATCCATTGTTATTGTTGTTTATCCTATAAATTGATAGAGTTATCATCTTTGGACACTTCTATTTAAGAAATATCTACTGTATCATGAGTCACAAAAGGAAGCAAAACAAAAAATAGTATCAGAAAACAATAGACATTTTACAGTTAATACTGAAAGATTACTGTGTTGCATTTCATTTTATTTATCTACATCTCATGGCTATTTTTCAGGTGTATTTGAAATATTTCATGTAAATTTTTTTAGATCATGTAGTAAATGTTTATTTTACTATAAAACAATATAGTTTCCTGTATTGATTCTATTTTCAAAATATGCATTAGTATACACACAATACTTAGGTCATTTTAAATTGTGACTACACATGTAGAGGTAGGTGATCACATTGATATATGTATGGTGTGGTCAACAATTTTAATGAGTAGGTAGATTGGTAATGCACATTCTAAGAAGTTGCACTTAATTTTTGTAAGCATGCTACAATCATTTTAAATTGCTATTTATTTGCACATCTTAAGATGACCATTAATGTTTGTATAGATACAAAAGTCTGTATTTTCAAATTACATTAGAGCTGTTGTTGCAAGAGACCGGTTTTAAAAAACTTAAGCAGAAATGTAAATATTTGTTGAAGACTTAGAATATCACCATGTATTTATTGTTAGAGCTTACCTGAACATGTTTTTTGCAAGCATTGTTGCTAGTTAACTATAAGAAAACTGTAAAATCGTTTTCAAAGTAGCCAAAAATTCTGTGAACAATGAGATGAAATTTTGTGGCTTTCCTAATGTATTATAAAATTTTTAATAGTATACGGTTGAAAAACTTCAAGAAACCCATTTTCTAGTTGTAGACACTGATTTCTGTCTACTCGAGTGGGAAATTTTCTTAAATGAGAACGTTTTATACAGGAAAAATTAACTTTTGGGGAAACTCCTTAAGTTTTGTATTTTATAAATGGTTTCTTTTTCCAAGGAGTTAATAGTCACTTAGTTCATTAATTAACATTCCCAAATTATGAAATTATTACTGATATCAAAAAATGCTAAAATCTGCCATTGCAAAGCTTTTAAACAAGACTGAACAGAATTGATACCTGGTCAATTACCTTAAAAATTTAGATAAACTAGTTTTTGAGATGTTCTACAAATGTTCTTACATACTTCAACCAATACTAGTTTAATGTTACTAGTTTGTTTTTCGATATTAAAAAAAATTAAATATCCTCAGATCAGTGGTTTAAGGTCACATTAATGAACTGAGTTTTTACATTTGACAATGAAGCAATTTAGATTTGCGTAAATGTTACAGGATCTTTCAAATAGTGACTTTTTCATTGATTGCTTTGCATACGTATGGTCAGTACCAATTATGATTGTTGGTAAATTTGTTACTTTCCCAGCTGAAGTTTGCTTTTCCATGTTATCAAATTTTTATTGGGTTTGTAGCCAAGAATTTTATTTGAAACTACTAATAATAAAATTTCCTATAAGATCCTATTACTAAATTTAGTAAATTTAATAGTTTACCTGTAGGAATATAATGCAAAATTAAAATTAGTTTTATAGTACAGTAATCCTGGAAATTTCTCTCAAAAACTCTACATTTCATAAAACTTGCGTCCTCTGAAAAGGAAGTGTGTGTGATTGATTTTTATCTCTAACTTAATGCTGGGATCAAAACTTATCATTTTTTTGACACTTTGATAGCATTAAAAAGTGTTAACAAAGAATGTAATTCTTTTTTTCAAGGTGCCACTGCAAAAAAAACAATGATGTGAACATCACTAACTTGAAGGTATCTGATGAGTAACCACTATTTTTTTTTTTTTAATTAAAATTTAACTATGAATGAAGTCATCATTGGTATGTAATTAATACATATACAAATTTGCACATTTACTGCAATACCTTTATGAAAATTCCACTATTTAGATTAGCACCATTGCTATGCTGTAAAACTTGGCATTTTTGGTAACTTGTTGCCACAGTGTACATTGTCAAGTTTGCCAGACTACTGTCTACAAAAAGCAAATTGATTTTCAGAATCAAGTTATTTCTCTGATGCTAAAGATAAATTTGAAATAGTATGTTTTTGTGTTATCCTGCTTCACGATGAGGCAAATGAATTGGTTATGTTAGAATTAAATCAATGTTTTCATTTAAAGAATTGAATTTTATCTGTGGACTTTATAAACATCGTTATATGTGATTTATTTTAGAAATGGTTCATAGGTGCTGTTTCCATGAATGAAATATCTTTGTGCATGTTGAAGCAGTGATTGTGGACTTTTTTTTGCTTTTCAAATCTGGCCAGCAACTTCAGTGGAAGTTGCATTTAAATAGACTTGTAAGGTATCTGAATGCAAAGAAATTTATTGGATAATTTAACTATGATGAAGCTATTTTGATTGTTTGGATGCCTTTCCTGGACTGTCTTCCATTTATTGTCTAATGAACCTGGTCCATATAGGAAGATATGCGTTATAGCTTTGTCATACTTGGAATATAATATACAATCGACTTCCCCCTGTAGCACTGTTGATAATTCCGTTTTATATGAATTCCATGTTGTGCGAGTCACTTAGATTTTACAAATGTGTGTGCCAGGCTGTGAATGGCATATATATATCTTAGCATTAACTTTGTCATTGGTCAAATTTCTCTTAAAATTCTAAAGTACAACAACCTGTCATTGTACCTATCATCAACTTTTCTAAGAACTTCTCTCTCTGGTCTTGATTTTTTTTAACCTAATGAAATCTTGCAATAACATCCTTTGTCATTGCAGTCTTATACAAGGAATCATGCCTTGTCTAAAAGAACAGCATTCTGTGATCTTTGACCAGCTAAGTGATCCTTATAAAGCTTGTAATTTCATCTGATTTTTCCTCATGGGATTCATTTAGCACAAGAACTTGTCTTCTGTTATTTAGCCCAGTTTATAATGGATAGTGTGGCTAACTGTAGAAACATTCGGGATACTTTCCTCACTATTCCACAACACATAATCACTCTTATTTGAGTAGTATTTAATTGTAGATAGTCAAACTGCTTTAGTTTGTCACAGACCAACTCCTGATTATATTACTAATTGTACCCACACTGATGCATTCACTTTCTATCTGAAGTATGTTCTGGGTCATCCTATCACTTTCATGTTTTGAAATTTTCCAGAATTCATGTTAAATTTTGAACCCATGTTTTTGATTGAGAGAGATCTGCTCTAATAAATAGTTATAAAATAACCCTCTGTTCTGAAGAGTAGTTAAAGCTACAGGCTTAGACAAATTGAAACTTGCATTCATATTCTGTAAATCCTCCGTAGCATCCACACAATTTTACTTACCTACAATGCTGTTGTATTTAACATTGAATTAAGTTCAAGTATGTTTAGATTTGCGTCTATTTTCAGGAATACTTAGAATTTTCTTTCTTTCTCTTATTATTTTATTTCGGTTTTGAATGTTTTCATGATTGCATCATCCAATTCTAGTGTGAATGCACATCAGCATTCCAAGTTTACAAAGATATAAATTTTATATAGTTTCTTGTTTGTGAAATTTTTTTACATTTAGTTAACTGTGTAAAAATTTTTCAGGTTAACTTCACCGTAGACGAGATCCGGGATATGATGAACCGGAAACGGAACATACGTAATATGTCCGTTATTGCCCATGTAGATCATGGAAAATCAACTTTAACTGATTCGCTTGTTTCTAAGGCTGGAATTATAAATCCATTATGAGCATAGAAAAAGTCCCTCTTACTCCTTATGTTTATTAAAATGCCTATATAATATACAGTATATATAGGGCTATATATATTTTTAAATTTATCCAATAATATATAAAAATATTCACATTTTTTGACAGCAGCAAAAAAAATTTAATACATTTACACATCAATATTGTGTGCGCGTTGAGCAATATTCGTCATTGCACAACACACACAAAACACTGCGATTGCGCAATGGCTATTGCGACACGTTGCTACAAATAATTTTAAACTTAAGAAATATTTCTATATTATTTCAAACTTTTACTCCTATTATTCAGAAAGTAAATAATACAATTAACACGATTTACTTAAAGGTTCGATTTAGTTAATGCGCGTTAGAAAATCCACCGGTTCGAGGTTATAAACCTCGTTTCTAAAGTGACTGTTGACGTCACTCACTCCTTTCTGACTTCGGTCGCCATTATAGTAGGTAACGATTTTGGAAGTTGAAGGGAGAAAAGAGAACACCGGTAAAACAAAATGGTAAGATACATCGCTTTTCAATCCACCTAAATCCTTAAATGCTGGATTGTTTTGTTTAATTTAAATCTATAGTTTATAAACATTTATTAATTGAAGCTGGTTTATTTTGTAATTTCTCATAACATATCGTTTGAGAGATAAGCCTGATGTTCGCCATTTTGTTAGTGTTAAAATAACTAATATAGAGCTTTTATATGTTTTCATTTTCGAATTAAATGATATTAAAACGTTATTACGTATCCGCAGATGCTTAATTTCTTTTCTTTTTTTTCCGCGAAATGTTATAAAATAGTGCAGGCTGATCCAATCAATATTTCAACTTAAATACCATTTTGCTGGATGATCGAATGTCCTATGTAAAAATTAAATAAATTAACTCGTTTCTGGTCCAGATTCTACAGTTTTATTACTGAAAATATATTGATTTTAATGAAAGTGTTTAATTAAAATAATTTCTTTTGTGATTGATAAGTCTAATTAAATTTTTGAAAATGTTTATAGGGTTTCTCATTGATAAATGGGTGTCTGTATGTATGTATTTGCATGTAAAAATGTAAGGTTTCTTTATACTGGATGGTATGTAATCTGTAACACAGTGAAGCATGTAATTTACTGTATAAATTAGTACATGCAAATTTTAATAATGTTTGAACTGTATACAAGCTGTGTTTAAAAATTATACATGTTTTGTTTATACTCGTACGTGGAAGATATCCAGCAAACATCGTGGACTCTTATCAGCGAATTTGAGACGTTGACCTTTCTTAACGTTTGTAAAATTGGTAGAGAGTATTTAAAACGATTTAACCATGCAAATCATTGTAATAAAATCTTTGTAGTTGATTCTATACGCTTCCCCTCTAAACAATTGCACAAACAGGAAGTAGTAGCTGTACTTCTTTGAAGTAATGTGAAAAATTTGATTATTGTTACATACCAAGAATGGCAGACTTTTTGGTCTCGTGTAGTGAGTGTAATTATCAGTAAAAATGTTTGTGTGCCAAATTATATTAGACTTTAAATGATACCAAATTTGATTAAAATGTAAAAAACATTATAAGGCTAATTGAAAGAAGAATGGTTGGAAAATAAACCAAAAGGATTATTGAAAAGACAGGTTATATATCATTTCTCTTGATGTGCCACCCATTATATACTATATATATATACAGGTGTGAAGCTACTTAAGATGGCTGCTGTTGTTAAAGACTGGCAATTTCCACTTTAAGTTGTTGTGGCATTTAGAATGGTGAGTGGAGTTTGGAAGTGCTGGAAATAAAATTTGTGATAACTGCCACGAATGGCAAAAGTATTTGTAAAATTTGTATATCATCATCTACGTTATAATATTGGCAACAATTTTATCATTTCTGAGTAAAAATTTCACTTATACAAAGTGTTTACAAACCACAAATCATCAAAAGTAGAGCTGTTTCCTTTGTAAGCATAAATTGCTTAGTGACTTTCAGCAGTTTTACTAGGCAATGCACCTTATGTTTGAGGGGGAGATATAAATACCAAATTGAATTCAAGTGGGGAATGAAAATTAATTGTACAAAATTTATGAAACTTAAATGATGTATTCAGATTTTTTTGTCTTTGGTTCTGTTTAAATGACAGTGTAAATGGTTAAAACTGTGTCTTTATTTCCATTTAAAATATATTCGTGTATGTAAGAATTTGCAATCACTACTAAGATTTTAGTTGCTTAAATTTATATGAAGCCATTTAGTATGTAAAGCATATTCCTGAATGATCAGAATGAAGTGTAGAAGCATTTATGGGAAGTATTTAAATTAAATTTGTTTAAAAAATGAACTTGGTTTCTACTTCAGAAGCAGCCTGCTATTGTATTGTTATAAAATACCTGACGAGACTAGGTAATATCGGCCAACAAAAAATCACCTCCAAGGTAGAAACGTGTTTAATGTACTTGTGTAATTTCAAAGTGAATAATTTGGCCAATAATCTTTTAAAAAGCTTGCAGGTGTTTGCTATTGCATTATACGAGGAATGTTCCAGGTGTTTTGATAAATTTTTATTTCATTACAATACAAAGTTTATAATGATTGTACTAATTTATTTTAGAAACAATGAATCTAGTTAGATCTAAGAAAGTGTGTAGTTTGTTGTGAAATAATCCAATACTCAGGATTAGATTGTGCATCACATTTGAAGTTTTAATTTTACTAATATGAGAGCTTAGTGTGTCTTTAATGAAACTTCAGAGCGAGTATAAATTTATCAAATGTTTTTCATTAAACTGACGTAAATTTTTTTAAAAAAAAATATTGGCATTAAGAAAGTTAGTTATTGAATGATGATAATTAATTCTCAAGACTCCAAAATATCTATGGAAGTAGTTTCTAGGGTAGAAACAGTTTTCAATAAGCCTGTATATAGTGACTTCAAATATCATTACAAGTAACCCCGTATAACACGGCACTTCTATAGCGCAGATTCACTCTAACACGGTTTGAGAATTGGTACCATCCCCTGTATAACACGGTACTTTTATAGCACGGATTCACTCTGACATGGTTTGAGAAATGGGTAAAACCCTCGTACAACATGAAATGTAATAAATTTTTACATAAGTACTAATAGTTCACGAAAATTATTATTTTCGTGAACTATTAGTACTTAAGTGTGTAAATTTTCTTTTCTCGTCTCCATACACATGGTCCTTTTAACTAGAAGCAAGCAATCTAAAATTACATACACTTTTTGCAAAAGATAAAGCATGAATCTGAAAATAATGCAGAAAAATGCTCAGAGGATAACGATAACTTGCCAAAAATAAAANACCATTATGGTATGTTATATATAAATAATAAATAAGAATTTGTCAGGAACAACTTGAAGGTTACTAATGTAAAAAAATCATTGTAAAAAGTAACGTCTTAAAGAAATGTTAATGTTGCTCACCAAAATAACCTAACTTAACTATTTGTAAATGAACAATGGAAAGTGTCAGTTTCTATCTTAAAAAATACATACACTTTTATTTATGTTAATTAGGCAAGAAGGACAATTTGTTCAAAATTCATTTCTAACTCTTCATTCTGCTAAGCGATTATCTTTGCTTAACACTTCAATATTAACTCTACTCTATATTTATTACAAGCAGAGACTAAGAAAACAAACTAAAAGATGAAAAATATAGTTAAAACACAATTATTATCTATTCAAACTAAAATTTGCGGTTATTAAAATAATTTAACTTTATTTTGTTGGTATTAACGAAGGGATTTATGCAACCTGCTTGTACACACCATATGAAACTCATGCAAAAGTTTAATCATTTATTGATAACTAGTAATCAAATGTTATTACTTACCTGAAATGAAATGTTTCGGACAAACTCTTATATTGGTATTCACTTTATCCGTATTGAAATTGTTCCGGTTAATTCTTCAGAGCCATGCAAATTGCCTTTGTCGTGAAAGCTCCTCAGTTTGGGGTCGTTGATAACAAATAATGCCGAAAATTAAAAACAAAAAATGACGTTCTTTTGTTCTCGAGTGAACTAGCATTACACCCAATTACACAACAATTCGCCATAGTGATATTCGCGACGAATAAACAACACAACATCTCCGGCTAAAGCGCACGTAAACACAAATAAACCGTAAACCACAAAGATGGCGCCGAACAATTTTATAATATTAATATCAGTTAATCCATTTTATATTATTTCTTATGAGAAAATCTTCTTCGATTTTAGAACAAATTGGTTTTAGGAACGAATTAAGTTCGAAAACAGAGTTTAGACTGTACATAATAGAACATTTAGCATATTAAAAATAAAGAGGAAATCGCTAATAATGTACAGTAAACAATCGATAACAAGAAAACATTGTTTTTAGAAGCATTGTTTCAACGAGTATTATTAACTATTAAGAGAATGGATAGCAACGTAATTCATCCTCGGCATGAAAACAGCAAGAATATGTCATCCATATACAGTACTTTCAATATTGATTATAAATTTGATCGTCATCTTAAAACTATTAAATTGTGATTCGGAAGACGAAATTTTCCATTTAGAAAATGCGTAGGAATTCGTAAGTTCGAATTATTTTATATTATCTCGAATGTGTTCGTTTACTTTTTAAGATTTTAATATTTATAGAGCCATTTGAAACCATATTCTGGTGCCTGTTAAAAGTACTGTACATCACATCCCAAGCAATAAAAGTGAGAGGAGCCATCATTTTCATCACTTCTAGTGGATTATGTGTATATATATATATATGAGAATGTTTGNTTATAAATAATATGTAGCCAATGCGCCAAATGAATTTTTTTACGCAAAACTAAAAAAAGGATAGCCAAATTTGGCGCAAAGTAGTCAAATCTTGCAGCGCTGAAAGGAATATTAAATAAAGGTAGAGTTGGGATTCAAAGGATTATAGACCTAAATTCAGGGAATGGAGAGAGAGGCCAAAAGATAAAAAGAAGTGAGAAAGGTTAAATACACCTGTTATGCAAATATTGGTTCTTAATTTTTCAACCTTTCTCACTTCTTTTTATCTTTTGGCCTTTCTCTTCTTTCCCTGAATTTGGGGCTATAATTCTGAGTCACGACTCCAGCTTTATTTAGTATTCCTTCCTCATTCACACATTTCAAATATTTGAAAATATTTCCTTTCTATTAAAAAATATGTATAAAGGTTTACAGCTTTCTGGAACCTCTTTTTTGAAGTTTATGCCGTTGAAATAAATAATAAAAAAAAATTGTTGGTTTTGTTTATACATTTATTGGGCCGCGGGTTGGACACCCCTGGTATAGACCATGGATTGGCATGCAGGAGGTCATTGAGAGCCGCATGCCAGTTTTTCATACATTGTAAGGAGCCTCACCATATTTTGATTTTTATTAACTTAACTAAAATGCAGATTATTTNAGAGTGGTCATAACAATTTTAAGACTTTCACAAAATATATTTATAATTGTGTAGTTGATTTTTCAATCCAGTAGATCGTCCGAACATAAT